GCGGTACTTCCTCCTCTTTCCTATGCTTTAGATAAACATCTGAATTGGCTCATTTAATCTCTTATCATAACATTCAGGGTGCCGGCAAACCGAGGTTAAACAGGTGAGTAACTGTCACTGAATTAGCAAATGCATTGTTAACGGCTTGTTCAGGTTTACAAAGGATCGGACTGCTGTTCAAAGAAAACAATATAATAGGCGTAGATACGTCAATTGAGGCGCTATCAACGCATACATTATGTGCGTTGTTCACGTACAGATACGGGAAGAGAGGCGCTATCCACGAATACATTGGGTGCGTTGTTCACATACAGATACGTGTAGAGAGGCGCTATCCACGAATACATTGGGTGCGTTGTTCACATAGAGATACGTGTAGTGAGGGGCTATCCACGAATACATTGGGTGCGTTGTTCCCGTACAGATACGTGTAGCGAGGCGCTATCCACGAATACATTGGGTGCGTTGTTCACATAGAGATACGTGTAGTGAGGGGCTATCCACGAATACATTGGGTGCGTTGTTCCCGTACAGATACGTGTAGAGAGGCGCTATCCACGAATACATTGGGAGCGTTGTTCCCGTACAGATACGTGTAGCGAGGCGCTATCCACGAATACATTGGGAGCGTTGTTCCCGTACAGATACGTGTAGAGAGGCGCTATCCACGAATACATTGGGTGCGTTGTTCCCGTACAGATACGTGTAGAGAGGCGCTATCCACGAATACATTGGGAGCGTTGTTCACCTACAGATACGTGTAGTGAGGCGCTATCCACGAATACATTGGGTGCGTTGTTCCCGTACAGATACGTGTAGAGAGGCGCTATCCACGAATACATTGGGTGCGTTGTTCCCGTACAGATACGTGTAGAGAGGCGCTATCCACGAATACATTGGGAGCGTTGTTCACCTACAGATACGTGTAGTGAGCCGCTATCCACGAATACATTGGGTGCGTTGTTCCCGTACAGATACGTGTAGAGAGGCGCTATCCACGAATACATTGGGTGCGTTGTTCCCGTACAGATACGTGTAGAGAGGCGCTATCCACGAATACATTGGGAGCGTTGTTCACCTACAGATACGTGTAGTGAGCCGCTATCCACGAATACATTGGGTGCGTTGTTCCCGTACAGATACGTGTAGAGAGGCGCTATCCACGAATACATTGGGTGCGTTGTTCCCGTACAGATACGTGTAGAGAGGCGCTATCCACGAATACATTGAGTGCGTTGTTCACATACAGATACGTGTAGAGAGGCGCTATCCACGAATACATTGGGAGCGTTGTTCCCGTACAGATACGTGTAGCGAGGCGCTATCCACGAATACATTCGGTGCGTTGTTCACATAGAGATACGTGTAGTGAGGGGCTATCCACGAATACAATAGGAACGCTTGTGTGTCAGTGTCAGGCGAACGTGGATATACTTATTCAGTATCTCGTTGGCGATCCGACGCTTGGCTACAGTGGAGTAGTTTTGCCCTTGGAGAGAAAGTCCGTGTTTCATCCCGCTGACATTTTAACCAGAGGTTTGAAAGGGGGTTCATAAATTGTGTCTACTTTGTCATCGGTCAAGTTCTAAATCCACGTGATACGCAATTTTGTAAATATATTAGTTATTCTTCAAAGTCATGATACATTAGTGTGTACTGTGATATTGAGTCATGGCTAGAGTAACCAATTATAATATAGTGTAATTAGTGTTAAGCAACCATATTGCTATAAGGTGCTTTCAGTAATTTATATAGTTTATAGCTTGTAGCTGTATCTGTTAGAATACATTTCTCATTAGCAATAATTTATAGCTTACAGCTATAAATGTAATAATATATTGTACAGTATTTTAGTACACTAAGTCTTGTGTGATTATGTACATAGTTCTATGAAAGTGTTAGTAAATATGTGAGTGAGTGAGTGAGTATGGTTTTACGCCGCTTTTAGCAATATTCCAGCAATATCACGGCGGGGGACACCAGAAATGGGCTTCACACATTGTACCCATGTCGGGTGACGCTTTAACCACTAGGCTACCCCTAGTAAATATGTACTGATGTAGTGCATATTAATATTAGGTTTATATGACTGTGTGTGTGACTGTGTGTGAGAAAGAGAAAGCATGTCTGTGTGCGTATTATATAGTTTTACTTACTTGTGTCATTTCATTATTAGGCATAGAGGCACATATAAAGCCATCCCGTGTTATTCCGGGACAAGCCGAATAGCGACTCGTGCTCCCCTCATGGCCATTTTTGCGACTGGGTTCCGTCTTAGCGCAAACGGGCATACCTAAAACAATTGTCAAATCGTTGCGTAATTGTTCACATATATTTCCCCATATATTATATCGTCACGATATGGCTGAAATATTGCCGATGCCCATATATTATATATATATTTCAGATGTAATATAAAGCACATCGGGACATGCGTTATGACACAGTATGGTTGAACACATTTATCTGTGTCTTGGGTATATTTTTAGATGCAAGACATATGTAAAATCAAAAATTGTTTCTGAGGGATTTGTTGACGAAGAACTTAAAACCATACGCGCATTCTGATTGGTTTGTCGTATTTTCGCACATAACATTCATCGATTGGGGGGCGAGTCTTCTCGCAGGTTACGGAAAGGGGCGAGTAGTGACGAATGGCTAGTGTGATGTGTAAACGTCCGGACCCGGAACGATTTAAGGTTATAGTATGTTATAGAAACATGTGGAATATTCTTTGTTGTGAGGGCACAGTATAAACTAGTAGCTAGGTAAGTTGTATAGAAGATCGTGTTTTCGCGGATCTCACGCATTTCATCCCTTCGAAATCAGCTTTCATGTGAGGATCACTCGTCATCCCTGATTCACTGCCTAGCCTTTCTCGGAAGTTTGGCCACTGTCGCCGCTGGGTGAACATATATTATTCTACGACTCTTTCCTATCACCACTGTATTTTTGTATCTGATTCTGACCACTACAATTATGTTATATATTGGCATTGGATAGTGTACTACCACTCTATTGTGTACTGCGTTGTCCATTTTTGTGTATTAATTTTAAAACTACCCCATCTTAATTTGTTCGTGTAAAATCCATGGATAATTAGTCTCTCACAATTACACAGAGTCGATCAAAGGGATCGGGTGGTCAGGCTCCTGACGTTGCTTCACGTCGTCGTATCCCAATTGTGTGGATCGATGCTCATGATGTCATTCGTTGGATTGTCTGGTCACAAATGGATGTCACAAAAGTAGTCCACGATGTTCCCCCCTTTGGGCTCTCCTCCCACACATCGTCCCCCTTTTTATTGAATGAACTGAACGGGGGATAAACATAACTATCTCACTCACTGGAGATGTTGACAAATAACATACTGTAAAAGTTACTATATGTACGGTTTCATCTTGTCCTTACAGGACGTGACCACTTGATGAGACAAAGCGACGAGAGACATGGCGGGTATTGATGACCACAGGAGACCTATTGCCATTCACATACATAGCAATGCCACCCATATTAACGCGGCAGGGATTGTCTACGGGGGTGTTGGCAACGTGCTCGAACAGAAGATTAGAAAAGAAGTTGCTGCCAGATTAGGGAGTTCACAAGCTATTGAAAATGAAACGAGTGGTGCAGTTAGGAGTTCACAAGCTATTGAAAATGAAACGAGTAATGCAGTAAGGAGTTCACAAGCTATTGAAAATGAAACGAGTGATGCAGTAAGGAGTTCACAAGCTATTGAAAATGAAACGAGTAATGCAGTAAGGAGTTCACAAGCTATTGAAAATGAAACGAGTGGTGCAGTAAGGAGTTCACAAGCTATTGAAAATGAAACGAGTGATGCAGTAAGGAGTTCACAAGCTATTGAAAATGAAACGAGTGATGCAGTTAGGAGTTCACAAGCTATTGAAAATGAAACGAGTGATGCAGTTAGGAGTTCACAAGCTATTGAAAATGAAACGAGTGATGCAGTAAGGAGTTCACTTGGTATTGAAAGTAGTGCCCAAGGTATAAGAAAAAAAGCTACTGCTACAGTAAGATGTTTACACGGTCCTGAAACAACATCTTCTGGAGCAGAAAGTGGACAAACTAATCGAACAGAAACTACTGCTACGTTAGGTAGAGTAGACGATATTGGGCGCGGACCTCCTGCAAGAGTAGAGAGGGGACCTGTCATTGGGACTGGGACTGCGAGTGGAGTAGGAAGCAGACCTGGTACCGGACGTGCACAAGCTGGTGGAGGAGGGAGTGGACAGCATACAATCATTGCTGAAGGATGTGGGCAGTATAATAGGCATGAAACCACAGTATATAAGCAAGGTGATTAACTATATATTATTAGTCTGCATACAAACGTTTAATGTTTCTCAGACACATATTGCTCAATGGTGAAGGGGGAGGAAGGACTTATATATCATAATTGTATTGAAACACAACTGGGCATTGAACTCATATTGACGTCTACTTGTAATGTTTCTCTGGTATGGCCTCACATATACTGGTCGCTTTGGCCTAGTCTGTCTCCCAGACCCTAGAGAAAAAAATACATCATAGTCTAAGGCTAGGTTCGAACATTTAAACATTATTCTTTCAATTATCCTAATTAGACATTTATCGTATTTATCAAGAGCGTGTGAGGGAGTTAGGTGCAATACTGATTTGAACAATAGGGGCGGTGGGGTGGCCTAGTGGTTAAAGCGTTTGCATCTCACACCGAAAACCCGGGTTTGATTCCCCACATGGATACAATGTGTGAAGCCCATTTCTGGTGTCTCTCGCCGAAATATTGCTAGAATGTTGCTAACAGAGGCGTACAGCAATATATTCACTTACTCACTTTGATTTGATGTGTTAGGGAGGCCTGATGTAATAGACGTGTAGCACTAAAGTAACACCTACGAGAACGGGTCTATTGTACGATTCAAACTATATTCTATATATTACATTTGGAAATGTCTTCCACATGTGTACCATTAAATTCTTTGAAAACTTTACTCAGGCCTTGCATTTGAAACCTTCTTTAACTGAAGCATTTGAAACCTTCCCTTTTGCTTCCTTGCTTTCTAACGTAATAGACCATTATCGTAGTTGCATTATAAATAGCTAAATTGTATTCCCAATTTGAAGGAGAAACGAATAACGCCTAGATCGAAGTGGTGTTATGAAACATACGCGGAAATTATGCACTACATTTGAGGTGTGTAATTGTGAGCTGTAATATTGTTATCAGAGTATTTTCGTTGTTGCAATGTATTTGTATTTATTGAATGGTTCAGTAAAACATAATAGCACGCTTTGCAAACACAATGTGTAATACTGAAACTGTTGAACTGTGTTGGCACTAGAAACCAGTCACAATAGTGAGATGTTTTTACCCCGCTTTTAGAAATATTCCAGCCATTTCATGACAGAGGACACCAGCTATGGGTTTACAGTCACAATGGAAAAAAACTTTCCTTTTTTAACAACTATTTCCTATACTCCTCAGTGTCAAATGATCAGAGGACAGAAGCGAATGGGGAAGCATCAGAAAGTATCCACACAACACTGGGCGCTGGTCAGCACGGTAAAGGTGAGAAATATTTTAGCAAAGTGACTGGACAACACTGGAAAGTCGTGAAGATCCGGGTCAGAATAGGTCTTCAGCGACTGTGCTTGTCGTAAGAGGCGACCAACGGGATCGGGTGGTCAGGCTCGCTGACTTGGTTCATGCATGTCATCGTATCCCAATTGCCTAGATCGATGCTCATGATGTCACTCACTGGTGTGTCCAGACTCGATTATTTACAGACAGCATCACCACACTCGCAATCATTATTGTTAACTACCATGATAGATGCACGGTTCTTCCCAACCTAATCGCCAGACTCCTTATTCATGTCCATAAACAGTCCTAATTATATCAACAAATAGATTTTCAGGATAGATTATTATCCTTGTCGACAAGAATTAATATGAAAAATGCAAATGCAAACTTCTCTTATTTCAGTTTGTCTTGCGCTGACAGCCTAGATATGATTCCCGATCAGTATTCCTCGTTAAACATTCTCAGTAATCACCAAATGAAGGAGAAAACGTAACAAAGAATAGAAGTTGTTATGTGAAAAAAGGTGTCAAGAATTTACATTTGATTCTCTTTTAAATCATGACGAAACCATCACCAGACAAACATTTTTTTTCATATATTCCTTTCGTTATCTTGTTCCAGATTGGGAGGCACCTGCACCTCACCTGGAAACACCAGAAAGTATCCAACCCAGAAGAGGTGAGAAACATACAAAATATAAGATGTAAATTCAAAACGTCTCTTATATCTGCAGACGGCTTAAAAAACCTAATAGGGATGAAAACCATATTACTTGACAGGAAAAACTGGCTGATCACAAAACTATATGCGCAATCATGACACTGTTACAACACTCGAAAAAAACATTGTTAATCTTTCAGTTGAATCGCATTTTAACCCTTGAGTAAATGGTCCCATTTCAGCAATGACAAAATCTTCATCCGACAAACGTCAAACAGACATTGATTTCCATGCTGCGTGCAAGGCGGGAGATGTAGGCCGTGTGGCTCGTTTGTTGTCCGGTGATCAGGGAAATCTCAACGGGAAAGACGGTAATGGGAGAACAGGTCTGATGATGGCTGCGTACCAAGGCCACAGAGATGTTGTGGAGTTTCTTGTCAGCAAAGGAGCAGATTTGACTTTAGTGGAGAAAGGTGGTGACACCATTCTTCACGCAGCTTGTCGTGGAGGCGATATAAATATAGTCAAGTGTGTCCTCTCTAAGGACGACGTTGACGTCAACTGTACAGATAAGTCGGGGATGACACCATCAATGTCTGCAGCACGCTGGGGGTATACGGAGGTCGTGAAGTTGCTTTTCCGTAGGGGGTCTAATCTACAGATGGTGGATGATGAGGGTGACACCGTTCTGCATTATGCCTGTCGAGGAGGACACGATGACATTGCTGAATACGTCCTCCACTGCAACACTGCGCTCATCAACGTCAAGAATAGGAGTGGCAAAACAGCAGCGAGAGTAGCCAAAGATGAAGAACATTATTTGGTGTATGAACGTCTTAAGTCAGTGCACTCAGGATGCTACCTTATGTGAGTGTGGACTGACAGTGACACGAGGACTCGGACGTTTGATTACATATGAAACATTTAGAACGTATACAGTGGATTTGTGTCTCCTCGCCATCATCCTCGACGTTCCAGTGAACTGCACACGTATCTCTATTCTGGTTGGATATATATCCTGAACACATTCCTACGTAGCCTCGTCACAGTCTCCGTAACTCCTATAGTACAGACTTCCTCTCGTTCGCCGGAGTAATTTAATTAGGCAGCAATTTGTAGCATTATGCTATTTGAAACGGGCTAAGAAAGAAAATGATGGTAGCGAATGTTACCCGTTTACTCATTTAGACATTTAGACATTTAGACATCAGACCAGTGAAGATCCGGGGTAGAATAGGTCTTCAGTAACCCATTCGTGCCGTAAAGACGACTATGCTTGTCGTCAGAGACGACTAACGGGATCAGGTGGTCAGGCTCGCCGACGTGGTTGATGCATGTCATCGTATTCGGATTGCGTGGATCGATGCTGATGATGTCAGTCACTGGAGTGTCTGGTCCAGACTCGGGTATTTTCAGACCGCCGTCATATAGCTGGAATATTGCTGAGTGCTGCGTTAAACAATAAACACATATTTACCCATCATACCCATGTTAAATGGACGTAAATTCACAGATTGTAGTCAGTTTTTGCGGGTGTTTGGGGGAATAAAACCGAACAAACTGTCCATCCTCTGTGCTGTATCCGTCTTTACGTTCCAGGAGGGACAAGGGCGTAACATCAACCAGGGTTATATTTCTTGACTGACAAACAGACAGAATATTTATTTTTTCATTTCACTCGGAGGTACATATAACAAATCTTCCCGAGGCAAGAGAGTTAACTAACTTTAAAAGTCCAGTTTTCCACCCTTGCCGAACTAGGCTGGAATTCCTGGGCTCTATCATAGCGCCACCAGTGGCTATTACGAGTTATGTCCCTTCTAAGCCTCTCCTTTATACCAATCAGATTCCACCTCTCGTATCACTTGCATTTGCTTGAAACAAAACAGTGGCGCCCAGTCAAGACGATCTGGTCGATAATCAAGATCTTTATTGTGATAAAACGAGTCTTCCATCGCGAAGTGCATCAAATCACGTGAGCACCTTGATTAAAAACATGAAAAGATTTGGAAAATATCTGTTGACAACGAGTTGGTGGGGCACATGCTTTGTAAATCCTGCAATCGACCGAAATTTGCACGACAGTTTACGAACCGGATTTCGATTTCGTTGCACGATTTTGATTGGACTATGAGTAGACTCGTTAGTCCAGACAAAATGTAACTCCTTAATACCAGCCTAGCTCGGCAAGGGTGGAAACTGGACTTTTATAGTCAGTTAACTCCCTTGCCTCGGGAAGATGCATATAACATAGCTGTATTTTACATACAAACCAGTAAAACGTAATTGCGACCAACGCCACGCGATTTATGAGAGATGATAAAACCACTCATAGTCATATCATAAAATATAAAATACATAATTAACAAACAATCAATTATAGAGTGTTAAGATATATAACTCAATGGTAAAACGTATCTGTATATTTAAAGGCGCCTATGCTCTAAGATGTTGCGACAGCCTTTGACTACAGAAACCATGTCGTCAATTCATAAAAGTAGGACATGTTGTTGGCTTAAAGGAGGGCCATATGTTATGCCACTTCAAGTAAAACCGTAAAATGATGACAACTTAATAACACATGAAACACAATTAAAACAGTAACTGTGATCTGTCGGGATATATGCTGTTATACTTCCAGCGTGATGGGGACGGTCGGGTAGCCTAGTGGTTAAAGCGTTCGTTCGTCACGACGAAGACCCGGGTTCGATTTCCGATATGGGTACAATGTGTAAAGCCTATTTCTGGTGTCTCCCGCCGTGGTATTGCTGGAATATTGCTATTTTGAGATGGCTAAGCTAAAAGCAGCGTAAAACTATACTCACTCACTCCAGCTTAATGCTGCATTATTACTCAATCATTAGCCGTCACCTCAGCATTCCAGATAAAACACAACACACGTGTTTCCCACAAGCGTGCATTGCCCAGAATGCTTATATCGGCAAAACCGGTTTACCTCAGCCGATACAAAAGTTGGACTTACAAATGAACGCTGCACTGCTTAAATGGATACATATGAATTTAAACCGGGCTATATATCGCCATCAACCAGCTGGACCACCATACTTCTGATCCTCGTGACTTATGGTTACTCTCCTACCTGCGTGGCAACCCAGCAGGATTTATACTATCTCTCTGGCAGCTGGTGAATGTTAGCAAGTGAAACCGAAGATCAACAAGTAAACTTAAACCAGAGGTAGGAATATGCATACTATAATTGATCATGACGTAGTATTACATACCCTCACAAGGCGATCGTTAGTTTACGCTATGTCAACACCCTGTGATGGTTCGTGTGTATGTCGGCTTTGTCCAATAGACATGGGGGCAAGGGTGTCCCAGTCGTCTAAGGCGCCGCGATTCGCTGTGCAGAGTTGCATCCCATGGGCACGCCAGGAACCTATGATTGTGTGTAGAATCCCGGTTCGCCCCGATTATGTTTTTGGTTTGTCAGCACCATACCCGTGGGTTTCACGACCCGTGAAGATTCCGGGGTAGATTAGGTCTTCAGCAACCCATGCTTGCCGTAAAAGGCGACTATGCTTGTCGTAAAAGGCAGCTAACGGGATCGGGTGGTCAGGCTCGCTGACTTGGTTGATGCATGTCATCGATCCCAATTGCGTGGATCGATGCTCATGATATTAATCACTGGATTGTCTGGTCCAGACTCGATTATTTACAGACCGCCGTGATATAGCTGGAATATTGCTGCGTGCGGCGTTAAACAACAAACCAACCAACCCTAGGGTTTCACCAAGATGGTATATGTCTAAGATCTGCATCACTTCGGGATCTTCTATAGAATTAGATCTATCATGTAGCGTCTAAGTTTAGGATTGTTAGTGATGTATGTTTTTGTAAATGGTGTATGAAATTTGTTGAGAGCTGCCATAATGCTGCATCAGCCATTGCGTTATGAAAAATGAAAAAACGCTTTATAGATAGATGTCTATTTTTCGGTATTTAAGGCCACGTGGCCCATTGTACAGTTGACACTTTCGGTTTCATTTGTTTAGTCACGTGATAACCATGATATATAAAAAGTATCTGACAGAGAATATATGTTTCAACAATACGGGTAACGAACGTCTAGTTGTTGGATGTTATCAGACTCATCATTAACATCTTGTTTTTGTACCTATTGTTAAACATCGGAATATATTTTTCTCTAAGATGTTCATACTTATCACATACTAATAAAACATGAAGTTCATCCTCAATCTCTCCTAATTGGCAGTTTTTACAGATACCCATTCCTACGTCCCTTTTTTCACATTTACATCAATACTTTAGATAATAAGTTGTGTGATGACACTCTGAATTAACATAATGCCCTAACAAGCGATTTATCATCTATATACTTATATACTTCTCTCGTGCCATACATATGGCTGAAATACTGCCCATGTGACGTTAAATAATAATAACTCACTCACTCTCGTTCTATAGAAGACTTGATATCCTTGAAATGGAAACGTGAACAAGATATACCATCATGCCAGTTGTGGCTGTACGTGTCCTGCATCCTTTGTTTTAAAGAGTATAAGAACAAATCGGTATCCCCTACATCTTGGGAAATCCACACAAAGGTGAGGTGAGGTGAAATGGGGTTTAACGTCGCGTCCAAGATTATTGCACTTATATAGCGACGTGCATGTACGTGTATGTGTTTGTGTGGCTGCTTGTACTAGTCCGGACTGATGCCGATTTTTAGTGCTAGCTCACTGAGACACCATGCCGCAGTTTAACATGAATACCACACTCAGACACAGTATACTGACTCCGAGCCGACCAGTCCTTGTTTTAGCCTCATAATGCCGAGCGCCAGACAGGGTAACAACAAGAACCATCTTATAACGTCTTTTGGTATGACGCGGCCGGGGATCGAACCCCGGACCTTCCGCTCTCCGGGCGGACGCTCTACCACTAGACCACGGAGGCGGTCTCCACACAAAGGAATAATCCCATGAAAATAATAAATATCTGACCATGGACACCCAGTTCGTTTTACCATCCTCATCAAGAGCTTTCAGTAGTTTATAAGGATATCTTTGCGGCCCCATCCTCAGTTATTTTAACCAATATGTTGTCATTCGAAGATGACTCAATACAGGAATGGGATGGTGTCCTGTTTCACCTAAAATAGTTTAATTGGAAGCATATTTCCAAGCATTAAAAAAAGTTCAAAGTACGACGCATGTACTTTTTCAATAGTCATTATATTTTGCGCCCCATATTTCTGCTCAAATATAGCACGAGCTGTGGAAAAGGATACATGTATATGTTGCTTTTTTTTTTTCTTAGATATGTATAATTGCTTTTGATGCTTGCGATGCTAGTTGACTGCACGCAACTGACCATGATAGTTTAGATGATAGCGTCAAGCCTAAATATTTATAATAAGTAACAATTTTAAGGCGATATTACTATATGTCCATTTTTCATGGTTGGCAATGATACCTCCATTTCTACAAACAATTACATTTGTTTTTGACAATTTTTTATAACTTCCAATCCCTATCTGTTGCACAAAGAATATAATACATCAATTGTTTCTGTAGACCATTAACAGAGTATGAAAACATGGCGCTTTGGCCAGTAGTAAGGACATTATACGTTCATGTAAATAGGTATGCACTCGTGAAGATCCGGTTTAGAAAAGGTCTTCAGCAACCCATGCTTGTCGTAAGAGGCTCGCTGATTTGGTTGATGCATGTCATCGTATCCCAATTGCGTAGATTATGATCGTGATATCAATCACTGTATTGCCTGGTCCAGATTCGAGTATTACAGACCGCCGTCATATAGCTGGAATATTTCTGAGTGCGGCTTTAAACAACGAACGACTTTAACAGAACGTGTTGACCTTGATAATATTATAGTGTAAAGCTGTCGAAATTCCCTTTGATTAAGTGACTAAAAATGGAACTCCTTTCTCTCTGGTAATCTTAATGATATTGTTGATCGGATTACAGTGAAGCTGGTAACTGAGTCACCATCCTTGGGTTCATCTACAAATATCGATTGCTGTGTATTTTATGTAACTGATCATGTTTCCGTTGATACTGTTACTGTTACTGGATGTAATGTCAGGGTTACCTGCCAGGATACTGAAGGTAGTAGATATTGGGTCCAAATTATTATTTGAAGCAGTAATAACTGGTTTGACCCTTGTTCCAAGTGTTGACAAGATCTGAAGCATCACAATTAAAACTCTTCTCCCAAGCAGTACTGGTCTAGTGGTAGAGCGTCCGCC